GCTGACTCATGAGAGCTGGCATCTGGTTATTCACGTCTATCTTCTTTGGAGAAATGTCTACTCAGATCCTCCGACAATTTTAAAATTGTGTTAATTGTCTTCTCATTTTTGAGTTGGAGGAGTCCTTTATATAGTCTAGATAAAGGTCCCTTATCAGATCCACAATTTGCAAATATGCTCTCCCATTCTGTGGGCTGTCTTTTCACTTTCTTGATGGTGTCTTCTGAGGCACCAGAGTTTTTCATTTTGGTGAAGTCCCATTTCTCCATTTTTCTCTGGTTGCTTGTGCGTTTGGTGTCATATGTAAGAATCTTTTGCCAAATCCAAGGTCATAAAGAGTTACCCCTGTCTTCTGCTACAAGTTTCATCATTTTAGCCCTTAACAGTTAGGTCTTTGATCCACGTTGAGGTTGCTGGCATATATATGGCGTGAGGCAGGGATCCAACCTCATTCTTTTGCACATGGAAATCCAGATGTCCCAGTGCCACTTGTTGACAAGACTACTGCTTCCCCATTGGTCTTGGCGCCCTTGATGAAGACCAGCTGATGCGATGCAGGGTTTATTTCTGCACCCTCAACTCCTTGCATCTACTAGTGAGGTGCCTCTTCTGGGTCTTCACTTCGTCCCTGGCGGGGACCCAGACTCATCCCAGACCACAGCAGCCATCTGCACACAGACCCCTCTCAAACAGCCATCCCTGCTCCCGCTCCCTCAGCAGAGTCCCTCAAAGGCCATGTCTGGAACAGGCATGTCTCATACGTGGCTGGGAAGAATGTAAATGGGGGACGGGTGGTTCCCTAGGTTGGCACATCAGTTCAGAGAGAGCCTCTGAGCATCACACCTCCTCTCACTCTAAGAGGAGTGTGGTGACGCTCAGCTGTTACCCAGTCTGTGCGCACAGCAGGTGAGCACCCAGGAGGCCTGGGGCCACGGCTCTCCACCCAACACCCTGGGCCCTGTCTGCATCCCAGGCTCCCCGGAAAGGAAAGGTGTATTACGAGATCTGACCCTGACGTTCAGGGATGTGACCTGGATGCGTAGTTCCCTGCTCAGGAATACAAAGGCATGTTGGCGAGAAGACAGGCCAGCTCCCAGCAGGTGCCAAGGGTCAACAGCATCAGCCAGGAGGTCCTGGCAGGGACTCCGGAGAGCCTGGCAGGCCATACACAGGAGGACCCTCTCCAGACTGGACCGTACCAGCCTAGGCTGCGACCTCCTGCTCAGGGCTGCAGCGGCCCTCACAACAGGCCTGTGCGGAACTCCGCCTGCCCACCACACCCCATGGCTCCCAGGAACCCTGCCGGGCCCGGCCTAAGACCCCTGCCCTCACCCCCACCCCCGCACCACGGCTGGGGCAGCGCTACTCCAGAAACAACTCTCTCTTCTCCCGCCCGACTGCCCGTGCCCGGCCCCTGGGCACCACGCCGCTTTCTTTACTTTGTTGTCTTCCAAGAGAGTTTCACGAGGATTCCGCTGATGGGAGGAAGAGCCTCCCTTTATAAAGAAAGACGCCACTTCAGGGAGAGTGGAGCTGCCTGTGGGTGACCTGCTGTGTACTGGGCGGGGCGGGGCTTGGGGACTGGGCCTCGGTCCTCTCAGCAGTGCTGCAGGGGCGTCGGGGCCACGCGCATTTCCACCGGTGGAGAGGGGCCCTTGGAGCCTTCCAGAGCTGCAGTGCCGGCAGAGGAGGCTTTTAGCCGAGGTGTCCACGACCAGCGGCAGCCCCGAGGGTAGGTGCCGTTTTGTGTTTGTGTGTAAGGGCGTGGAGCCTCGCAGGGACAGTGGGGCTTGTTTGAGAAACTCTTTCGCTGATGGTTCCATGAGTTGGAAAGACCCTAGGCAGGTTAGGGTTAGGGTTAGGGTCCAGGCTGCGGGGGGGAGGGGGTTGCGGTTTACCCAGAAACACAGCCAGGAACTCCCCTCTCACCACCAGCCCCCTCCTTTTACAAAGAGATACTTTCTTGGTGAGCTCCTATTCATCCTTTGGTACCCTGCTCAAATGCTCCCTTGAAGATGCAACTTTACTAAGGTCCTGGCCAGGAAGTGACGGCTGTACTCTGGGGTCCCCCAGCCCCTGCCCCACAGTCTGGACCCTAGCCCCCCAGCACTGCATGTTCTAGGTACTAGGTACCCTAAGAGTCAATCACCCCTTCCAGCTCTCCTCCACCCAGGAGCAAACACCTTATTTGATCAAACGAATGAGTGAAGGGGCAAATGAATGAACGATAAGTTAATAAATAAATGAATAAACACGTGAACAGATGCAGCTGGGCTCTAGTACTTCAAGCCCACGTATTTACCAAACATGACAGGGTCAGCACAAACCGTCCCAATTTAAGGCCCGTTCCTCCGGAATTCCAAGCAAGCCATGCAACCCGAGTTTCCTCTTTAGCAGCACAGTTCACACTTGAGGAAACATTATGTGCACAGAGCAAGAACACAGAAAGGCAAAAATTAAATTAGACGGCAGCCTGGAAATGCCCGCTGTGCAAAAAATGCCAGCTGACTGATTTGTGTGGCCTCCCCGGAAAACGGCCGGGTTTTAATTTGGGTCTCTGGGACCCAGCTCCTGACGCGCGGGGAGGCTCACAGGAGAGGGGTGAGAACGCGGTTTCGGATGAGCAGACCCAGATTCAATTAGTAATCAGTTCTGACCTGCCGCTCCCGAAGGCTCCCACAGCTAATGACCAGAGGGGAGGGGAGCGGGCCCGCACCTCCCCCTCCCTCCCTCCTGGCCGGGAAGAATCCATCCATGTCAGCCCAGAAGGCGCTCTGGCCGCTTCTAGTTACAGGAGCTGCAGATGGGGATGCGGTGGCTTAGCCCAGCTCACTGGGGGTCAAGGCGGTCCACCGGCGACCCACTGGGCAGACAGAGTCTAGGGTCAGTGGAGCGGCCTCGGAGCAGCTAGGCCTTTCCTCTCTGTAAAGACTGTCTGTTTCTGAGGATGGTCCCCACAGGCAAGGACGTTAGCACTGCGCATGGACATCTGGCTGTCCAATCACACCCCGTCCGTGGGATGCCGATGGCTAGACGCTCTTAACAAGGACAGACAACAGCTTCTTAGAAACAGAACTGACGCCAGCACGGGTGCTTCCTTGCCCCAGATCCTCAAAAGGCACCAGCTGTCTCAGCATCCTTCCACTAGCCTCCAGCCCCCCCCACGGCACAGTCCTTTCCCACCATCTCCCAGGTGCCCCCGACATTCCCAGAGAGCCCTTCCGGGCTGGCAGCACAAGGCAGGTAGCACGTGGCCGAGGGGCCTGAGGGAAGCAAGGCAGGTCCCGGGGGCGGCCGGGTGGTCCTGGAGCCCCGTGCACCTCCAGGGTGCTTCTGGGCACCCCAAGCTCCGTGGGATAGGCTCCCGCAGCCAGCTCAGCCCCAAAGGTACACAGGACGTCGGGGCCTGGAGTGGTGAGGGCCGGGCCTGCTCCCTTGGGCCAAGAGCCCAGGCCCGTCCCTGACTCCTTCCCTGTCCTGCTGGAGGCCATGTGGGGCTAGAGCTCCAGGCCCCGGGCCCCGAGCAGACTCACTGCCCCAGCCAGGTCCCCGGACAGTCCTGGACAGGCTCACTGGTGACACTGACCCGGGCCCCTGAATCAGCCCCATCCCCGAAGGGCCCTTCCTTGGGGGCCTTTCTCCCTTTGGGGGCTGCACTGGGACCCACCCGGCTTGTCAGAAAGCCTCCGCCTCAGGGATGATGTGTCCTCGCTCCTGATGCAGCCCTACCAGCACTGCTGGTGAGCCTCCCAGAGTGGCCGGGAGCTCACGATGCCCCAGCCCTGTGCTCAGCACGCCCGTCACCTCTCCCGTGACCTTCGCCAGCACCGCCTGCAGCAGTCAGGGTGGTTCCCCCCACGTCCTAGGTCAGAGCAGGGGAGCTGGTGGGACCCCCTGGCGGAGGCAGCAGATTGAACCAGGGAGCTGGGCCCCCAGAGCCCGTGCAGAGGCTGTAGGGGAGGGGAGGGACCAACCAGAAGAGCTAGGGTCCAAGTCCAGCTCTGGGCAACCCTGTGCATCCCTGCCGCCCCCACGGGATGGACCGGCTGATACCTTGGACCCTCCACCTTGACCACGGTGACCGCGACTCCTCCAGCCGCCCCACACCCCTGCATGGGGCCATCCACCCCAAGGAGCCTGGACCAACACAGGCAGCTGCCAGCCAGGCCCACGGGAGCCCCCAGGCCGCCCAGAAAAGGGGTGTCCCCCCTGCTCTAGTCCTGGGACTGGGCAGGGTTCCGGCCTGGCTCCAACGCCGCCTCCCCCACTCGCCCGCTGGCCCCGCCCCAGACCCCTGCTGGGCCCCGCTGCGTCCAGCCTTGGGATGCCCAGGTCCCCTGCAGAGCACCCACAGCGTCTCCTGCACCAGGGGACGCGCCCACGTCGGTGCCCTAATGGAAGCCGCAGGGACTCCTCCCCGCTTTGTAAAGGCGGCTTGTGGGTCTGTTTCTGAGGACGGTCCCCAAAGGTACCACCTCCCACAAAGTGCCTGAGCGTCAACTCAGCAAGACTGTTAACAGGACGTGTCTTGTCCCCGAGCCGGCTCAGCCTCAGTGGTGCCACCAGCCTACCCAACGGGCGCATCGCGTCGGCTGTCCTGGGAGCCTGTGGCGGCCCCGCTGCACGTCACGAAGCCTGGGGCACCTGCCACCTGCCAGACCCGCAGGCACCTCAGACAGAGACCACACGGGGATCAGGGCCATCTCGCTGGTGTCACCGCCTCCACCCCTCTGCCCGCAGCAAGCCTGACTGGCCAAGAAATGCCCTCTGGCCCCCTGGGCACCCGGCTCCCCGCCAGCCTGCACTCCACGCCCACGGCCAGCAGGCAGCCCTCAGGTGCACGACCGGCACCGCCGGGGGTGGCGGCCCCGTGCAGCCCGAGGCCTCGCCCAGCGAGCAGGGCGCCTCGGTGGAATGTCCTGGGGGCTGGGGGCATCTCGTGGACCCTGGGCACGCAGCCTCTTGTGGCCCCCGACGGCCGCCCGGGCCGGGGCTCTTACCGTCCACGCAGGCGGGCCTGGCTCTGGTGGTGCCCGCGATCTGCCCCTTCCTGCACGCGCAGCGAGCCGTCTGCCGGGCGATCGTCCTCCGCGGCTGGCTGCTGTCGCGGTCCAGCGTCACAATCTCACAGGTGCCGGCGGCCAGCTGACCTGCAAGAGAGGCACAGATGGGGCTGAGTGGACGCGCCTGGAGACCAGCCGTCCCAGCACCACACCGAGTGCCCACCTGGCGCCCGCCTGCAGAGGGACCCAGAGGGACATCTGACCCCCCAGATGATGCTGTCAGACCCACCCTGTAAAAGCCAAGGCACCGGGTCAGGCCAGCGACCTCCGCGCTTCTGCAGCATGGCTTTGGCAGGCTTGCCTGGGCGACAGGACGTTCAACGTGCCCCATCTCAGCCACTCCTGGAAGTGAAGGGCTGAGTCACAGGGGAAGGGCCCCCGGTCACGAGTCAGGACCTGGGCTGCACAGGGCTCCGTGATGGGAGGCTAGGCTGGCCTGGAGCGGCCGCGGTCTGTGTCTGGACCGGCCCAACCTGCCGAGAAGGGACCCGTCTCGTTTGCAGGTGATGACTCCATGGGCTTCACTGGCTTCCTCACCCCCCACGCGACTCCCAAACCCAGGGAGGGCACCACAGCTCTGAGGAGCCGAGGGGCAGCATCCCAGCAGAGGGACACGCCTGCCTGTAAACCAGGATGCCCTGAAGAGGCACACCGACCAGACAGGCAGCGCCGGCTCTGGACGGCGGGTACCAACGCGGGAAGCCTGGCCACTGGCCCCAGGGAAGCTGCAGGTCCTCCCCGGGCCTGGCTGGTGCCCCACCGGTCATCCCCGAGCTGTGAGCCTAGATCTCTTGGTGACACCGGGTGGCCCCTCAGTGTGGCCACACGGCCACAGCCTCCACCGGGGCGTCTACTCGCTGCCTCACTTTCCTTCCCTCAGCAAACAATAAGCACCACTGTATGCCGCCCTCTGCGTTGGGCCCTGGGACCACAGTGCGAGAAAGCGGACGGTACTCTGCCCCTGAAGGTCCCTCCCAGCTCGAGGATACGGCCCCGTACAGATCCCAGCCCACCGCTATGCAGGGGGTCGGCAGGGAGAGAGGATGGGGGTGCCTGCTGCAGTTCCAAACAAGGGAACGACGAGGAGGTGACACCCAGGAGACGGTCCCCACGTGCAGGGGAGGAGGGTGGCAGTGTCCACCCCACAGAGGAAAAGCTGGCAGCTCCCTGGGGCTCCCAGGCAGCCGTTTCTTCAGCCCTGGGTGTCCTTCCTCATACACTGCTGTCACCCCTGGCCCCTTCCTCCAGGCAGCCCCCCGGGTCCTCCAGGCGGCTCACTGCACAGGACTGCCCTGCCTTTTTGTCACTGATGTCACCTCTGGGTGCCCAGCCCGGCCTGGGGCCAGGCTGGCAGGATACAGTGCATGGAGTAGCCACCAGCTCCATCAGCCCAGAGCTGCCCAGGCCACCCTGACGTGGGGGAAGCCACGTCTGGGTGTGACCGACCCAAGAGGCAACGGGGTGTCTGCAGTGGGTACCAGACATGCCCGGCCCAGGGCCTGAAGGGAGCTGTGCACGGGGACCCCAAGCCAGCCGCCCAGAGCCCGTCACGGACGGCTCACGGGAGACCCACACAGGTGTGGGAGGAAGGATGTGGGCCCCGGGCCCCTCCTCCTCGACCTGCTGGGACCCCCCTCCCCTTGCTGAGCAGAGCCTGTTCCATGGCCAACACCCCAGTGCCGCCTCCCTGAAGGCTTTAGCTGTGATTGAACGTGCACTAACTAATTACACGCAAAATTATATACTGCGCTAAGAACCAGCAAAAATAGACAGACGCGTAAATAACGAAGTAGATAAACAAATGCAGCAGAGGGAAGAGCGTCGTGGATAGTGAGGTGTGCGTTTCTGGTAACAACAGTGGTTAGAGCCTTAAAGACAGACGTGATTACGGGCAACCGTGCATCTGAGGGGGTCCAGGAGCTCATGGCAAAGATGCTGAGACTCGTGGGCTGGTCCGACTCTGCGACGTGCGGTCGGGCAGCTGTGTGGGTTCTGCCCCGGCTGTTATTTTAAGCTCTGCGTGTTGCTGTGGGGCTGCTCCGGCGCTCTTGGTCCTCGCTGCTGCCAACCCTGACCCCAGACACCTTCGGCTGACGTCAGTGGCCGGCAGAGGCCCATCTCCTCGGAACCTGAGCCCTGGTCAGTAACTAACAAAGCAACTGACCGACCAGCCATGGGAACCCCCTGACCCAGGCACATCGCGCCTCCGGAGCCTGGACCCTCGTTTGTAAGGGGGTGGCTGGGCAAGGTCCCCGCCGGGGGTCTGAGAGGGCTTCCACGTCCAGTGCACCTCTCCCACGGCAGCCGGCAGCCTCACGTCGTCATCCCCCCAGGTGCCACGATTCTGGACCACGCCCCGTGGACCAGTGGCGCTGGGGTAGGGAAGGACAAGGCGGCCAAGGGCCCCCCAGTTCCTCTGCATGTGCACCCACGTGGAGATGAGGCGGACAGCAGGTGCCCGGACTGTAGTCAGTGCCCAGGGGCTGCCGTAAAGAGGCGTCACAGCCTGGGAGCCTAACCCCCAGCATATTCACCCGTAGCCTGGCGGCTGCAAGTCTGAAATGGAGGCTGCAGCAGGGCCAGCTCTCTCAGGGTGGCCGTGGAGGGGGGGCCTTCCTGCCTCCCGCGGGTCCTGGTGGCCGTTTCTCACCTCGTAGCCTCACCAGTCCCGTCGTCACAGACCTCCTGGTGTCTCCTCTTCTCACAAGGTCGCTGGTCATGTTGACTAGGGTTCACTTAGTGGCTTCATCTTAACTCAACTGCAGCTGCAAAGCCCCTATTTCCAAGTAAGGCCATCGTCCCAGGTAACAGGGCTGGGACCTGAATGTATCTTTCAGGGACACCATCAATCTATGAAAGGAAGAAAACCAACCTCTGCCTGGGAGTGTGGAAAAGCCGAAAGGGAACGAGCCAGCACCGGGGCGCACGGGCCCAGGCCACACATGGCTCCGCGTGCCTTCGGGACACTATGGGTCCCGGTTCATGAATTTATTACCAGCTCACAGCCTAGGCGCCCAGCCCGGCCCCTCTCCATCCCTCCACACCGTGTTTCCTCGGCTGCCCTGGCCTCCCCTTCTGGGGTTTCCAGCCCTCAATTCCGTGTTGGGGGTTGGCTGTCTGCAGACTCGGGTCTCCTCCCGGGCTCTCATCCCAGGACCTTCACGTGGTCCTCGCCCTGTGCCGTGACCATCCTCCCCGGGCTGGGCTGGGTCTCGGATGTTGTCCCCGACCCCTGGAGGAGCTCACGGATAAACGCTCCCATCCCCGGCTGCCTTGCCCCCAGGCTCCACCGCGCTGTCCTTAGCTCAGGCGCCCCGCACCTCTGACAAGGTTGGCAAACGGCAGTACGTGAACGGCTCCCATGGGCAGGTCCAGGGCTCCTGGAAGCAAGCAGCCCAGGTGAAGGGCAAGGGGACAGGGACAGGGTGGCAGCGCATCACAGGGGCTCAGAATACAGGCTCAAGAGGTGCTCGGCGAGCTCGGAAGAGGCGGCGTCCTGAGACACCAGGTGGCTCTCCCCGCGGGTCACACAGCTGAACACGGAGTTCAGGCACGAGAGGGGTGGTCCACCCGCACCGTGAGGTCGCCTGGTGTCGAGGAGAAGACTGCCCGGCCCCGCCCACGCTGTCGGTTCTGCTCTGGGGGTCGACAGTGAACTTGGGCTGCGCAGTTAACACACAGTACTTAGAACTTGACCACGTGCTCGGAACTCACCGGACTCGCCATGGACTCAGCGGATCTCTCCTCCAAGGCGCTGGTCCATCCCTGCCTGCCCACACCTGACCTGGAGCTCCCAGGCCCTCCCACCCAGCTGCCCAGGAACCCACAGCACCTCATTCAACCTGCATCCAAGTGTGGGGCACAGGGCAGGGGGGAGGACAGGCAGCCAGCTGGCCCTGGGCCCCCAGGGGACCACACTGGCCGCCTTAACTGGGGCTGGCGTCCTGGACACCCCGTGGCGCTCAAGCCAGCTCCAGGCAGGCGCCCACCCAGCACCTGGAAACCTCTCTGCTCCACTCAGATTTCTGGTTTGTTGTGAAAAGGTCACCCCTCGCACTTCAGCCCCTGTGTCCTCTGACCAGGCCAGTGGCTTCGTGACGACGGGTATCTCAGCCACAGGGCTGAAGGCCGGCCGGGACCCCCTGGGAGCCTACTGCCCCCAGGAATGACCCTCCCCAGGTCCCGCCGTGCCCGCCCTTCATCCCCCGCTCCGGAAGCTCGAGGAACCAGGGACCCCAGGGTCTGGGACAGCACCGCGGTTACAGCCGGGAGCACACGTGGGACACGGGCCTCCGAGAGGAGTGGGGAGGCCTGCAACGGGCCAGGCCAGTCCCCACACGCCTCCCGGTGGGCCCTCCTCCTCTGGGAGAGGGCAGCCAGGAAGATTCTAGAGTCTGGGCTCCCCCTTCCCTCCTTCCCTTGTCTCACCTCTGCTCTCTCTCTGTGTCACACACACAGACACGCACACCAACACACAAGACGTGGTCGGCGTTTTCTTCGGGGGGGCGGGTGGGATTATAATTCTTATTGTCTTCCCCCAGGTATTTTTGTTACAAAGAACCTGTATTACTTTTAAAACCAGAAAGAAAAAAAAATGCTTCAAAAATAAAACAAACAAGAAATCACAATTCCTTCCCCAACAGCTGCTCCCACCATGCACGCGGCCCACACCTGACCACGTCCTCCTCTGCAGTGGGGACACAGGCCGGGCCTCCCTGCAGCTGCCCCCCAAGCCCAGCCTGGCGCCTGGACCCACAGGCCCTGCCGGGGCCCAGGGAGGAGAGTGTCCATGCGTGCACACGTGTGTGCCTGAGGGGTGATGGGCGGCTGCCGTGAAAACGGAAAGAAACAAAACTCCAGGGAGTCTTCTTAGGAGAAAAGCAGCAACATAAGCATTTAACACAAAAGCCAGATGCCGTAGAGAGACGTGTAAAAAAAGAAAGAGATGCTCACTTTCCCCCAGAGACAGGCCTGCAGCTTCTCACTAGACGGCGGAGGTCAGGGTGCGCATGGGTGGTCACGCAAACCCCCAGTTCTATGGTCTGATTCTGTCCCCTGACACTCGTGGCAACGTCATTGCATGTAAA